CTGAAACGCACAGAACCTGCATGAGTGCTGCCCCCATTCAAACCATCACCCTCTCTCACCAAAGCCTTCTCCACACTTCCTTCCTTCCTAGCTATGTTTCACCACCTGAAGCTTCATGCAAGTCGTTACAACAGGGCTTGTAATTTCTGCATCAGCAGTTTTCACGCAAGCATTTGGTATTTTTGAGGGACACTCAAGATAAAGGCAGACAGAACACTGAAGGGATCTGAATTTCTGCCTCCAGAAGAATGTGACTTGCAAGGTTTCACGATCCTTCCATATACATTCAAACCAGTTTCCCAAGAGTCATGGTTTGAGGAGGGGGGTCTTAGAACTATCCTGTTGCTCCCTCTATTTTGCTAAGCTCTGTGATGTCCTTATTCCCCTCTTCCAGCTGTGGATCAGATCCCAGTGTTAGACAGGGGAACAACGTACCCCACACGCCCCAGAGTTTACAGAGTGGATGAACATGGACCTGGGAAGTGACTGTGGTCAGCTCTCACTGCAGAGGCTCATTTGGTTGTGCTTCTTGAAGGTACTTCAGCCTGAGGGACCTGCAGCTTCGTACCCTGCTGCTGCTCTAATCCCTGTGCCCCAGGAGGGGAGCGTGGCACGGAAAGCAGGGGGGAAAGGGGGGGAGACACTGCCTCTGATGGCACACAAAGAAGAGCAGATCACAGTGAACTGCTCGAGTCAGAAATCACAGAAGTTGTTTTGTATTCATCTACCAGAGAAGAGAATTTTATATCTAGCCTATACAATATGCTAAACACTTATCAAAGAACACTTAGAGAGGGGGAGATCTCTGCGTTTCCTAAAAGACTGCTTTTCGTTTATTGTGTTTAAAGAAAAACAAACAAACATGTGAGGATGGGATGATGGAAAATTAGAGAAGATAGCCTGGGGGATGAGAGGTAAAGGCTCTGAACAACTTAGTAGCAGCGCTTGCTGGTTTTATGCACAGCTGAAGCCAATCCCTTGAAAAGGAGAGTTTTGACTCTTAAGTGGCCAGCACCTCTTGCAACATATTTCCTAATCAGCGAGTATTTATGGTCGATATTTTATATTTCCAATTTCCCCCTAAGGGCTCGTGAGAAAGCAGCACACCTGCCAACCTTTTCAGCTGGGCCAATAATTGCCAATTTGCTCTTTGCCTTAGTATATCACTCAATTTAGCCCTGGCTGTGCCCTGCATACATCCTCATTCATCTCTGTGCCCCCATGACAATTAGAGTGTTAGCTTCAGCTAACTAGGGCAACTATTCTACTAGGGTTGGAAGACAATTATTAGTCTATTTTCCCATCTTGTGGCAACAAAATTGAGAATCCATGACAATTACATTCAGCAATTCTGCACTCTGCCGCCTGTTCCCCCTCCTTGCCCCCACCTTCCGAATATTTCAAATTATCACAGCTCTACTACCACATTCAAATTTTCCATGTTCACAGGGAGTGAGGCTTCTATTTAAATGATAATGAGGGACGATCCATTCAATTTAGTGAGGGAGAAAATCCATTAAAAAGCAGGCAGTTCTTAAGCTGATGGGTCAAGAAAAAGATAAAAACCTTTTTTTCAAGCCATTATACAAGGCTCTGTGTGGATTTTTGGACTGTTCAGGACATCAGAAAAGATTAGGACAATTATGGAACATGGGGAAAACCCAAAACAAAATGCCCAAGCCTTCCACTTTTACTTGGGTCAACACAACAAAATAGCAACATGGCTTATCCAGCTCTTAATTCTCTGGCAACTTCCAATTACCTCCCTGTGAAAGAACAGCAGAGGAAAATCCCATTTTGGGAAAGGGCTGTTGACTCTGTGGTGGTTGTAGAAGACCTGAGAGTGCATGTGTAATAGGGATGTCAGCTTTATAGCAGTTTTTAAGGGAATTTTATACCAACATTGGGAACATGAACAAATGGTAGATTCCCATCCCCTCTCCACACCATAAAACCAGGCCTAAAACTTCACTGTTTTCCTGCTCTGAAGTTTCATCATCCCAAAGAAGAGCCCAGCCTCAACAAATCAAACCTCTGCAGCCAGAGATGATTTCACTGGATCATAATAAGCACTTTTTTTTTCCCCGATGACCCATAATAAATGGCACTCGGTGTAATGTCTGGAAAGACTTACTACACAAGCCAGACAATTACTGTCTTAGTATGAAATTGTATCATTCTCTCCCCACAGAAGTTTCCCTTGTGGCAAAGGAGCTGCAGAACGCCCTGGGGTTTGTGGTGGACGGACAGGGGGGCTGTTTGTGTGTGCTCAACATAATCAATCCTTCGCTTCGGTTTTCTTTGGAGTGCAATTATCTCACGACAGACCGGGCCACCTCTTGACTTCACGCTCCATTAGAAACCAATGACATGCACTAATGTAAATAGAGAGCAACTCGCTGGGATCCCACTGAACAAGTCACCTGAGGAACAAACGGCACGGAGGAGCTGGTGGGGACAGAGCCTTTGGAGTCGGAACGACAATGGAGCCGGGGTGGGAAGGACCCCCACACTCCTAAGGTGACAACGCTCAAGGCCACAGCTGACACTTGCATACACACGTTTCCCACCACACCTGCTGTGTGCTGCCCCACAGCAGCCAAACCTGCCACCTCCTGCCTCATTCACTCCATTGTTCACCCAAGTTAATGGGGAAAGAGATGGGAGGGAAAGGCAGCACAGGAAAAAAAAACAAACCAGTCCTGAAGGCCAAATGCACCAAGGAACAGCAGGAGAGTGAGAAGCAGCCCAGGTGCCTCCTGCTGCAGAGCATCCATCTGTAGAGGACACTGCCATGTGCTGGAGCCCCGTTTGTAACCACTAACCACTGCCCCTGTCTCCCCTTTTTATCTTTACTGCCCTGTGGCTTTCTGATCCTCCGTGCCACATGTAAGGAGCTGTGCCACAGGGACCAGACATGGCTGGACAGAAATCGGCACTCAGTAGAATGTCATCATCTTCTCTGCCTTTCCCTGCTCCCTCTCTGCAAAACGACGAGTCTGCTGCCTTTATCCCTTCACACAGAAATGGGGAAAACCAGCTGATTGCACCCGTGGGACTTTCTAAGGCTTCCAGACAGTCGCTAAATAGGCTACAGAACATGTACCAGTACGCAAGGCAGCTTTATACGTAATTAAAGCTAAATTGCACTCATCAAATAATGAGCGAAGAGCATTCTGTGATTCGTGAACCTTACTTTTCAAACTGTTTAATTACTAATTTGAAAAATTCTCATTTGCAGTGGGTCACCAGGTCACAGCAGCAGCCTTCAGCGAAGCTCTGAAGTGCGCCCCGGCCTCCAGGCACTGCCCAACCGTCCCCGTTGACTGAAAAAAGAACAGAGTGCCTATTTCCCCCCGAATCGCACTGGCTGCTGAACAGGCTTTGAAGATTTTGCAGGAATCAGGCACTCAGAGTCAATTCCCACAGGCACCGGGGGGGACTTTGGGGGCAGAGGGAAAGGAGGAGAAAAAAACTGGAAGTGCATGGGCTTAACAAGGGAAGTCTCCGAGAGCAGTTAACGCTTTGACCTGCGCTAATCGCCCATGTCGCGATATGTCACTCCCTTTCCCGTGGTGGCCCCACGTTACAGCAGCGCTGCCACGAGCCCCCTGCTCGCTCCCCCACCAGGAGCGGCCCAGGGGAGGGGCAGGAGGCAACCACACCGCTCCGTGCAGGTATAAAATCCTGATCATTATCGACTGACAGCGCAGCCGAGGCTGCCCCGCAGGAGGGGGGTTCCTCCCCAGGCCCCCCCCGGCGGCGCGTGGGCCCGCGGTCCTGGAAGCAGATCACAGGACACGTTATTTCTCCTCCTCCTCCTTTTCCCACTGCGTCGGCTGTTTACAGCGCCCCATTCACACTCCAAACATGTAGAGAGAATTTTCCCCCATCACATTTCCCTGTCAGAGCTGTCAAGCCGAATCCCGCTTTAATCTGCCAAAAGCACTTTTCTGCTGACATTTTTAATAAATACTTTCAGCTTTTAAACACATTTGTGGGAGCCATTTTTTCCCCTTTTTCTCCCTTTTCCTCCTGTAGAATGGGCTCTGAAAGCCTTAATAGCAAATACATTACACTTATCAAAGGCTTCCCCCCCCCTTCCTTTTGCATCCTGAAGCGGAGGTAGTGTTTTCAATTTTAAAGCTAAATTAACTGTCCAATTGAATTTAGCTGGTGTGAGCCGTTTTCTGTGACAGGTTTTAGTTATGAAGCATATTTTACATTAATAGAACTCAACATGAAAACCACTCGCTCTGGGATTTCTGTGGCTTGCCATTGAAATGGCAAATTTAATATTTCAGACATGCTCGTGCCAGCGTTTGATTATTGTTCTTCATTTAAATCTCTCCTAACGGGAAAGGTCCTAATTAGTAAAAAATCATGTTTTAATGAAGGCGAAATGCTAATTGCTAACACAAAAAGCCTTCATATAAAATTATCCCAGCACTGCCATTGATTTCTTGGTGACTCAAAAGCCCATTTGTGTGTTTACACACTAAGGCACCGTTTGCTTTTGTTTTATCATAACATTTCACTCAACGTACCATCGAATTTCCTGAGAGAAAGACAGCTTTCCCCCAAAAACCTTTCTCATATCTCAGAGGCAGGAAGCATAAAATTAGATGAACTGACTTTGCACCCAAACTATGTGATTACGTGCAGCAGCTAAACCCAAAAGATACCGTAAAAAGCTTTTTAACACAACTTCTTTAGGAAAAACAAAACAAAACATCAAGCCACTTCTCCCCGAGGAATAACAATTCCATTTTGTTTTCCCATCTCTGATCTTTTTCGCTTATCATATTATTTGCACCATGATTATAGTGTTTGCAAGGCAGCTCAACCACTTACGCCGTAACACTCAATCATGACATAAAAAAAAGTTATTACACAGTGACCTCTGGATGCCAACATTTGTTCAGCAAGATTTATGAAAAGCCATGTCAGCAGCGGGAATTGCTGCAATGAAGCGACGCTTTCTCCTGAATGGTACTTACATCACTGAGACGGTCCCTTGAGCTGCTCCGCTGAGAGCTTGTGGCCTCCCTGATGCTGTCTTCCTCGCTATTTCTGCCACTTCTGCTTGTAGGGACCTTCATCTAGAGGGAGAAGAAGGAGGGGGAGAAAGGAGATTTTCAAGCACTGCTCTGCCACCTGTTCCCGAGGTTGCCGACAGCAGTTCAGTCAAAGTTTCACTCCTACGCCCACGGCACAGCGGAGAGGACGCCTGTCAATGCACAGGGCTTCTCTGCAGTTGTGCTCGACCACGTGTGCCCATATCCCTTTCCACTAACAGGTGAGGGAAGCGGCGCTTTTGGCACTGCTGGAGGCAGGCAAGGCTGTGCCAAAATCCCTGGGCTGAGGCGAGAGGGGAGCGGACAGACAAACACCGTCACCCTGCTCCCAGCACACCTGGGCTGTGGCACTGGTGTTTCACTGGGTGCCTCTTGCTGCTGGGCCACTGCTGACCCAACAGCCAGGTCACCGCTCCCCAAACCCACAGATGTGCCTTGGGGCCACCCCAGTGCCCGCACCGAGAGGTTGGGACTGGCACGGCGGCCGGTGAGAGACACCGGCCTGAAACAACTTGCTTCGGATACCACACAGAATTTGAACTGATGCAGGATTAACTCCTACAGCCAAGGCTTGTTCTCTAACTGCTACATCATCCTACTTCCTTCACCTGAAGCTGAGCTTGGTTTTGGCCACAAGTGAGAGAGCCAAATGTTTGAAATCACAGCAACCTCCTGCTTACATCTGCCAAGAGTGTTACAGGGGGAGGAGAGGGGTAGGATAGATGTCATTCACAGCTTCATTCCTGGGCTCATTTACTAACAAATTATTCTGCTAATTCCCTTGTGAAATATTGGGTGGAAAGAAGTGTTTAATTTATTAATAGGTTCTATTCATATCAGTTTGGTTCCATTTAAATTACACTATTTAAAATGTCGGCTTGTACAAATTGGTGTGCTTAATGGTAATAAAATCCCCTTTGTTTCTTTCTGTCCCGTTTCCTGGCGGTGTCAGTGGCCAGCAGGGCTTGCTTGTGGTGCTGATATAACCCCCCCCCAGCCCTGCTGAGACTTTTAGACTCAGATACATCAAAGTCCTAGAAATAAACATTTGCTCACGGTCACCTCATCACACACCCACCACTCTCAGCACAGTGCCCTGTGTCACTCACTGTAAGCCACCTTCCCAATACACTGCCCAGTTGTAAACTTTTATTAAGACCAGTATTTCGTCTTTGCTCCTACATCAAAACCTTCAAACAGCACAGCAATGAGAGGCAAACCCTACTGCCATCTGCTAAAAGCATTTCCAACCAGCAGTGGGCTTGCATTTGCAGCTACCAGCACCACATACCAAGGCAGGAAATAACCCACTTTAAATGCATCATGTTCAGTCTGTATTGCCTGTTTCCTTAATAAATAGGTCAACGACATCAAACACAGAAATCTAATGGTACTACATCAATATTGCCCCTTATCCATCAACATTTTAATTCCACATATAATTAAGTAAATTTGGTAAGGTTGTTTTTTTTTTCTTAAATACGTAAAATGATTGTTATTCACTTACTTTATTCCTTTTTAGGTCTTTATTAACCAATTATTACTTCAGCTATCCCATTATCTAGGCTAGGATCGATGCCAAGCCAATAAGACAAATGGTAATATCCCCTTGATTACAGCCTTTCAGAAACACTGGCACACCAGCTTTCTTCTGTCATCTGGGTCTCCCTACACTTACCCAAAACCCAACTCCACTGGTTCCCAGTCATCAGCCAGCTCTTCTGAAACTCTTGGCTGTAAAGGATCTGACCCGCCAATCTCAGCGCTTCCAGACAGCAGGTGCTTAGTTCCTGCCTCAAATAGGAACCACTTAACCATTCCAGAACAGAATTCCAATTTCCCTAATACAGCACAGAAATGCCTATTGAATTCTGCGGCTTTCTGATTTCTCATCCATAACCTTAACCCTCCCACCTAGGAACGCATCAAAGCCTGTCAAGATTACCACACTTCTGACCTGAACAACTCCTAGAGAGCTGCAAATTAAAGGAAAAATAAATTACACCGTTCCAAATCCCTTCGCCTTCCCGAGTGCAAATGGTCAACAGAATTAATTCAAAAGGACTAAACTGCCAGCTGCTTTAAGTTAGCCCAGACTCACCCAACCTGTTACCAGACTCGAACCTTTTGCTGTTTTTCTTGAGTCACAGTCAGCTCCGAACACCACCCGTTTCTTTTCTCCAAATTTCATTAAAGGAAAAACTACACCTACACCCACGGTAACAAATTGAGACAATTTGACCTGACAAGGTCTTGCACGGGCAAGCAAATTAGAAGCATCACTGCTGCCATTAACCTTTCCAAGTAAATATCAATTATTAAACTTGCTGCACTACCTCTGTCCCCAGTTTGCTGCTGTGAATTAAGAGGGTCATCAGCCTTTTTGACAGATCTTGTTCATTTACACCTGCTGCCTGCCAGCAGGGGAGCCCGCACACCCGCAGCCCCAGCGCTCAGCCAAGCTGCCTTAATTCATCAGTAATTACCCTAATGAGCCGCATGCAGGACCCAACGAGGAGGACAAGTTGTTCTGCTAAATGGATGCATTGGTTTCACGGGCACTCTCAGCAGACCTGGGTATTAGTGAGCTGGTCAAAAGCTTCTTTCCCAAAGTTGCCACTGACTCTGTTGCTTGATCTGTAGTGATTTTCTCTGGCTGTTCTTGCTTGAGTTCCAGAAATTCCTCCTGACCACGTTTCCCTGATCGAGTTTTACTATAAAAACCAGTATTCCTCTCCCTTGGAAAAGGTCATTACTGTTGCAGACACTGCACTGCCTCTGTGGGCCAGGGCGAGGTGGGTTCCCAGCCTGAGGATGTCACAGCTGTCTCAGCACAACCTAAGGCAGCAAGATATTAATGCCCATATATATGCACTGAAACATTGAATAGGTGCTGAAGTTTTACTCAAGCAGAGCCTGTTTCATCGCTGGAGTTAAGGGAATTCTCCAAAAGCATTAATTAAACCCAAGGCTGCTTAAAAACCAGACCAGTGCAGTCTCCTAGAAGATAAATAACACCCCTGACCCACCACACACTGCAGAAGAAAGCTGGCAGCAGGCAATGCTGGCTCTCTGCAATAGCTACAATCCAGCTTTTACCAGGAACGACAGATCTTTGTTTGAGAAAGTGGAAGAGACTGTTTCCAGCTCGGTGGGAGCGGGCCAGCACTGCTGACAGGGCTGGCTCGGTGGGGAAGGACTGGGGGCAAGGTACAGAGGGTTTGTAAGGCCGTGATCAATTGGAGTGCTGCAGGTGCTCACGGACAGTCCCAAGCCACGTTCAGAGCCAAGAATTATGAACCTGGCGCTGTTGGACATCATGTAGCATGATTAAATATCATAACTCATCCTGGTAATAACTCCAGCTCTCATTAAAGTCCAGTTCTGCTATCCTGGAATGCCGCTGCCTTTCCATGTCTCCCATCCAACTTCCCCCGCCCTGTGTTTTTCCTGTGGGGCAGGGGGGTGGTGGAATATATGAATGGGCAGAACGGGTCTTGCTTCCCCCTGAAAGGGCTTTTTCATGACCACTACGCTGGCTCTCAGCCCCTGCTTTTTAATCATAACAGATCAGGCTGCTCTCCATTTACTCAGGCCTTCCCCCTGTCAGAGGAAAGCACGTTTTTATCTGCCGCACCTCTTTTCGCATCGCGGGCGCGCCGCCCCCCGCTCATCATTAATAAATACACTTCGATTTATCACAAGATCCATTTGAGTGCCACGGGGAGCCCGGGGCGAAAGGAGACGAATTCTTTTCTTAAGTTGTTCTGAAAGGTGCTGGGCTCCCCGACCCTCACCCCCATTAACCCGGCGCAGCTCGCGCGCTCCTACTGGGAGCTCCACGCCTCGCGCAGCGGCAAACTCGGACTGATCTTGTGCCATCTCAATATATTTGTTCATTATCTCGCGCACACACAGAAGCATTTGGAAATGTACTCGGGGCACAGGCCAAATTGAATCATCTGCCTTCATTTTCCACACGATCTGAAGCTACAGCTGCTACAACAGGCTGTGGGATTTTTATTTTCCTTCCTTAACAGGTTTTTCTTTTTTTTTTTTTTTTTTTTCTCCCCCCACCCCTTGCTCTTAAAGTCACAGCAGTCTCGTTTTAAACCCCTTGCTGCTGGCTTGGGTTTGTGTCTGTTTTATACAAAACGGGTCTTGCATACACACAGAGGGTGGGAAAAGAAATTCCCAGCAACCTCCCTCTGTGCTGTTCTGAAGACAGAAAGCAGCAGCCTCAGGGAGAGACATAATTAAAATATTCATCTCTGAGATGCCTGTTCTGGTAGCTCAGATGGGTCTATTAACCCACAAATCCTCTCTCACCTCTGCCAGTGGACAGGCACCGGCAGGAATGGCACCCACCTGCTTTGTGCTACACCTTGGAGCCAGGAATGGTTCCGTGAAAGGAGAGCAGCCCTTCCAGATCAGATGGGGCAAAGAGCTCCACTGAGCAGCACCCAGCCAAGCTGTCCCCTTTCAAGAGCACGTTAACTTCTGAGAAAGAAGTGTAATTCCTTTTCAGAGCTCTGGAAGATCAATTTTCGTTTGTCTTGAGAGAAAGGACAGGCCAAACACAACCTCTGGATTTAGGATTTTACTGACTTCACGGCAAATCTATTTTGGCAGGAGCCACTTGGAGATAAGCAGGTACAGCTGAGAGGCATCCAAGCCTCAGAGTTTAGGTCCAAGCTTTCAGATCACCAGCGATAGGGGTGAATCAACCTTATCATGCTCATCTATCTCAACTAATGCTGCTGAACACCACTTTACATCTCATCAGCGTGTACTGACTTTATCACCTGCTCTGCCAAAGGACCCTTTTCCAACTGTTTCTACGGGGTCAACCCAAGGAAGAAAAATTTTCTGTGGGTAACATTTCCTTCTAACAGAGACCACGATTTCACAGGGCCACAAGAACTGTTAGGGGAAACTGTTCCAAAAACTTATCAAAGCTAATTGTACGGCCTGTCTCCTTCCCAGCAAACACAAAAATTATGTTTAAACAGTATTTTGTGAAG